TATTTATTTTTTGATTTTATATATATATAAATTTTTTCTCTTTGTAGCTAATTACTGTTTCGAGTATGTTTCTCTAAGACTTAGGCGTCTAATTGTTCGCCCGGTCACCTGTTAGCGCCGATTTAGCAGCTTCAGGCAATTATACGATTCACCGAAGCGTCCTGCGGAAGCGCTTGGGTTTGCAATTAATTTGTACAAGAATCTCACTTGGCACGCTACCACGGTCAACTCTGTCATTGAATTCTTATTTACATGATAGTATTTGTGTGTGTGTGATGTCTTGTTTACCGAAAGGATATTTCTATGGAAAGTTATTACACACAAAAACGCACAAAACGCTCGCTGCTTTCATTTAAATATTAAAAACTTGCGCAGCGTGGCTCGTTAGTGCACTTTTCAACACTCGTTTATTTGTTTTTTTTTTAGTTATTTTCTTTGTTTTTATTTATTTTGCTTGGTTTTGTGTCTATTTATTTTGTTTGGCTTTGTGATTTGTTTGTATTTACTTTTTTTACTGCGCTGGTTGTGATTTCTCTTGCGTTAACGCGTTGACATGTCTTTCATAGCTCGAAAAATGCCGTCCGCACTGTCTTAGTGTGGCATCTAGTTGTTGCTGTTTCTTCAGAATTTTTCGTTGTCGGATTAACACTTACGTATAAAATGTAGAAGCTCTGCTTCAGCTCATATCTCATATCTCTTGCTATTTGCAGTTTTTGTAATTGTTTTTGTTCGCATTTTCTCATTCGTGTGGAATGTGTAATCTCTTGTTGCATAATTTTACACATTTTTCTATTATTTACTTTTGTTGATATTCGTTGATTGCCATTGTGCATTGAACCCATATTGTACGGGTCAGGTTTTTTGGAAGATTTACAGCTAAGAGCGCGCTGTTGGCGCGTGGTCTGTAAAGGAAAGAGAAATACCGATAATTATTAATTTTAGAGAAGTTTGTTTGTATTCAATTTTTTGATTATAAAAATTTTTGATTATAAAATAAAATAAAATAAAATAAAATAAAATAAAATAGAATAAAAGAAAAAATAGCGTTCGATTTTTAAACCATTTTCTAACTTTGTCAAATTTTTCAAAATATTACGAATTTTAATTTTTAATTTTTTCTTGCTTCATATGAAAGACGTATAGTATTTAAAAAATATTCATGAAATATTTGAAGTAAATCGGCTAACTAGAACATCAGATATTCTGGCAACTGCAACGAAAAAAGTAGTTTCAGAAAATATATACGTTGCCATGACACTATTTTAAAAAATAATTTGAATTTCGAAAAATCCTTTTATTGAGATATTTTTAAATTTCAAAATTATTAAAAAAAAGTTCGTTTATACTTTTTATTTTTTTATATTATATTTAAGCTATGCACGTATAACAAAAATTAATTTTTCGATCCATATTTTTAAAAAAATTTTTATAGGGAATTTACTAACGATTGCTAATTAAAATAAGTATAATATTTCTCAGAAGAAATCTATATGCTAAATATTTGTTGAGATCATACAAAGGAATATTGCACCACTGTGTGAATTTGCAATAACGTATCTACACTTTTCAATAGCATTCACAGATTACTCATACGCAGTGTAGGTTGCAATGAAATTTCAATTAATATGACGTTTTTATATTGGCACTTATAGGAGCTAAGAATTTTAATGTACACTTGTTTATTGAATCTACTTAGTCGACCATAGAGTACATAGATTACTCATACGCCATGACGTCAGGCTTATTTTGAAGTCATAAGCAGGTGTGTTTGCTCCTACTTAAAGTTAATTAAGTATTAAATGAGTGCTAATTGCAATGCAATGTATTTTTCAAATATTTAATGTAAAATTATATACTTTATGGATTTTTATTACAAAAGAAAAATTTTATATAAAAAAGTTAATAGGCATTTACATTAAAGGGTGAATTTAGGCTGACGAAAATATTTTTAATCAATTAGAATCAATTTAAAAATGAAGTGATTTTTATGAATTTTAAGTTAGGTTGAACTGGCATGGTTTCAAGTCATACATATATGTATGTATAGGTTTGTTTATAACGCGCAATATAGGTTTCTCATCAATATGAGCTAAAGTTTATGTCGTACAGTACAACAACGTATTTTGCGAAGCTCAATAGAAACTTCATATAATATGATTGTGATACTTCCTTTAGCCCCTTTAACTTTGAAATTCTAAGATATCTACGCCGAGCTTTAGATAATACCGAACTTAAGCAGAGTAGGAACTCCAACGTCCCTCTCCTGCCTATTTACCTGCTCTTTCTATATGTATCATCTTTAATAATGCCCATAAGGCTCGCATGTGATGCTGATAAAATGTCACCTGTGACCAGACCAACAAACATCCTGTAGTTCAGTTTTCAAAACACTTCGTAGAAAATTTCAGCGCTTCAATATCTGATCGAAATCTACAGAATTTGCTTGATAAGTATCAGCATTAAAAATACCAAATGTGAGCCTGAGATATTTACTAATAACACCATCTGATCAAATCTGACTCGGACTGACAAAAAACCTACATTCCCAGCTATTTTGAGACAACTCTTGATAAACGCCTTCAAGGATCAGCTTGCAAGCTTTTACTAACGTGCCAACGCCTAATCAAGTTATTCATACATTTGTTATAGTCCTTGGCTGAATCTTTATGGTATGTCTTTTAATGCCTTCAATCCTGACGCGTTAATTGAAACCAATTTTTCAGTTTTGTAGACAGAAAAGAATGCAAAGAGCCAAATATGGTAAAGACGGTGACTGAGCCACGACTCTGAGTTCGTGTTTGGGCAGAAAGTTAGACAAAATCATGCTCTTGCCTACAAAACCGGTCGTTTCTGACGAAATGCTACAGGTACATAGATGTCTAAAAGTGGCCATGAGGAAAACCTTCAAATTTTATGAGATGGTATTAATCTTATTTTTATATGGAGATATTTACGCCTTTACTAGAAAAACTAGGTCAATAAAGTACGACTTAACAAAAGCAGCATGTTGAGCTCGTGTATAAATGACTATACAAAATATATTTTGACATTAATTAATGCATTGCTGATATACATTCTATAAAAAGTTAACAATCATTCTACTATCTGCATGCAATATTTATCCAAAAATAGCATGATAGTGCACAATATTGGCAGGCGAAATTAATAATACAGTTAAACAGAGAGTCTACAATAGAAGCGAGAGCAGAAGGAGAGGAAAGTAAAATTAAAACAAAAAAACATGAATGAAACAAATACTTTCTGAAAATGTTTCGCGTCTAACACGCTTACAAATACTGGCTGATTAAGTACGCTCGCGGCAGGGTTTGGACGCTAAGCAGCGAGTCCTGTCACTCGCAGCCAGACAGACCATAAATTAGACAACTGCAGCTGCAGGTCGGCAGATGTTGCTGGCTATCCACGAATGCGAAATAAAATGGCCAATTGTCAAAACAAGCTGTAATATAACAATAATAAAACCAAAAATACGCGGATAAAAGAATGTGAACGTACTCGTATATATGTATGCATCTATGTGTGTGTAAATATGTTGATATATATGTTTATAAAGCAAAAGCGATAATCAACGTGATATCTGCAGCACTTCTGACTACTACTATAATGAAGTTATGACACAGCATGAGAAAATGGACGAAAAAGTTCAAAGTGAAAATAACAAACGCATTGGATTAACGGTTAAATTGTCATGAAATGGCTAACTAAAGTTCAAGCATGCGAATAAAGCGGTTAACGGCTACAAAGCAGAAAGAAATATTGGAAAAGCGTAAAAGGGTAAGTAAATGAAATGAAGGTCACAAACACAATGCGTGGAAAATTAAGTGAATTGTGGCGAACTGTATTATTATCATTTATTTATGCCTGCACCTTCTTTACTTTTTATGAAGTTAGGCACTTCAGTCGCTTATTTCATTAAGATAACTGGTCCTTTTTCTTTCACTTTGTAGGATCCAACAGTTTGTTAGCAGCAAATTTAAACCCAAATTTTCGCAACGACCTTAAAATTAAGAAGTATGAGTGGAGGCGGTCTAGTCAATGCAAGTGTCTTTCGATGGTGAGTTAATAAAAATTAATTCAAGAAGTTCTTGGAGTGTCATTAAAATTTTGATAAGTATTCATTATTTGACAATAGCAGTCACAGGTAACTTATACGCCACGTAGGTTAGAACTTAAGGGGCTATACCAGTGTGACACTTTCAAAATTTTTTGTTTACTTTTTCGATAGTTTATATATTCAAAAATATCCTGTGAAATCGGCAAGGTCGTATCTTGAATAGTTCTTGAATGGCCGCGTTCTAAACTGCGACCGCTCATGAGTGCAAACGTATAGTATAAGTGCAACTTTAAACGCGTTTTTCTCGAAATGACATTTTTAAAAATTGCTGACATCCTAACTCAACGAGAAATTGACAGATCGACGTCAGTTTTAGTTATAACAGCAGCACATTGCTCCAGAGTCGCAAAAGCAAACATTACTTTTCCTTCGAGAATTAAAAAAATTAATTTAGCAATCCTAACAAATACAAACCTTTTTAATCACTACTAATTGTTTTCTGTTATTCTAAGAAATGTGAAGCTACTTAAACGAAATTAAAATTCTTGGACTTCACTTTGCAACGCTATCTGCTAACAAGTTTCTCCTTGCGCTGGCGTTGTCAATCTACATAACCCTATTATTAATAGAAGGCGCTGGTTCGGCTGCACGCACATTAATCATACAACGCCGAGTTGAGCAGTCTTAAGAACAAAAGGAAGAAAACAAGAGAAGAGGGGAAAATATATTAACTTCGGTTGCATCGAAGCTATAATACCCTTCACAAATAGAAAATGTTTCAATAAAAAATTTAATTTTAACTGGACAGTTTATATGCCATCTACTATATATGCCTATAGTGGTCCCAACGGATCAATTTCTATAAGCGATAATAATCGTTCAGTTTATATGACAGCTGATACTGATGGATTGACTGAGCTGGCCATGCTGATCATTTCTACTTTATACACTCGCATATAATTTATAGTTTCTCTGATATGCTCTAGTTAGTTTTGCAAATTTTGTGGAAAACTTCATATATCCTATTCAAGGTATAAAAAAATATAAAAAGATTTGGACAATTAGTTTGACCTGCCACACAACACGTTTCTTTTTTGCTCTGGGCTTATTCTTTCATTAAGTTTCTGTTCTTGCTTCCTTACCACGCCAGCGTAACTAGTAACTAGCAGACAGCGCTCGCCTGCCCGACACTTCGAGTGTCTTTTTGTAAAATGACTGAGAATTTATGACACACTCTACTAGTTCTATTATTCTATGCCATCCGACGGTTGAAAGAGCTGCGTGAATTTGCGACGTTGACAAGTGACCTTGAGGCGGGCATGGCGCATGGGAGGGGCAACAAGTAAAGCGAGCGCAAAGTTCAGTTAAGTGCTAAGTATATAAGTAGATATGTACATTCATATATGTGCATATGAATATACTTGATAGTACTCGTATCAGGGGTGGAGGAGTTAATGTTGTGGTAGGCGTAAGCCTAGTCGTTATCCGTTTATACATAAATGAACACATATACATATAAATATTATATATGCAAGCGCAGTATTAAAGCTGTAAGAGAAACTTAAACACTTTACTACTAATGTTTATTCCCCACATAATTCCTAATACAAGAAGAGTGTTCAAATTTACCACAAAAATACTTATTTATATTAAAATTACTGAAGAAGTAAGTTGAAAAAAGTTCAATAAAATTTTTGACGTGAATAAAATTTATATGTAACAGCACATTACTCTGTAGAAGTAAGTTAAACTTTATCGTTTGCCTCTTATTTTTTATATTTCATTACCTTTATTCAGTCTAAAGAAGAAAATATTCTTATGAGATTTCCG